TGGACAGTCTTCTAAATTCAGTCCCTTAAAGCAGAATGGTTCAGTAAATTGTGGAAAATCTACCTCACTCAGTGCACTACAGTGGTGGGGAAAACGTGCACATAAATGCATCTGTGCCAGATGGGGCGAACTCCAAGATGTAATGAAACTGGAGTAGGAGGGTAAAAAGGCCACCATGTACAAAGGACGCCTGCAGATAGATAAACACGTGATTCTTTAATGCACAGAATATTTCTGGTAGAATGTACTAATTAATGAGTAATTGGTTTGAGAAAATATACTTTTTTAGTGTATGCCCTGTCGTATTGTTTGAATTTTTACCACATGCATGTATGTACCTATCACTTCTTAACAGCAGTTTTAAGAAGCAATAAGTTCAAATAAATATTATTTTCCAAATTCCGATCCAAAGGTCTAAATCCTATGCCAAAATATAGGAGGGTTACTTCAATGTGCCTGTCTTAAAAATGGTAAACCTGAAATCTGTGAAGTACACATTCCACCTATAGCTATAATTAAACTGATTTAACACGAACTCTGTTACACAGCACCCACATTAGCTTTCTTGCCATGTATAAACTCAGCCACGGAAGTGTAAATATCTTAATTTTCTTGGGATGCCAGTTGATATTCCAAGTCATCAGGAATTCATGAAATACAGAGAATAACTAAGAACATGTAAGCTGAGAAACAGACACACAAATTCATAGATACTACTCTAATCAAAATTTCCATTTGGGGATTCATTATACACTGCTGTTGTAGCCACAGAACACTGACACACAGCACCAAGTTAATTTCCTGCTCCTTACAGGAAAATATAAATGCATACAATTTTTAAAGAGATTTTAAAAAGCACAGGAGAATATCTTTGAACATAATTGAAAAGGTAGAAAAATTCTGACTGCTTTTCTTAAAAAAAAAAAAAAAAACAGCTTTCTCTTCTTTAGAACCTCCTTATATAAATGTTACTTGTATAGTTAGAATAAGTTCTAGTGTTCAATAGCACAGTGGGGTGACCACAGTAAAAAATAATTTATTATATATTTCAAAATAGCTGGAAGAGAGACTTTTGAATGTTCCTAACACAACTGATAAAAGTTTGAAGTGATAAATATCCTAATTACCCTTCTGTGGCCATTAAACACCGTATGGATATATTGAAATATTATTTGTACCCCATAAATATATATTACTATTACATATCCTTAAAGTACTATTTGCTTGTAGCAAATCTTGAATAATAAGAAGAAATACTATCATCACTTCAAATTTAACTGGAATTCAAACATTAGTACTTACTAAAAAACTGTCTAATTCAGAATATTCCTATATTACAAGATATGAAACATGCTCACCTATACAAGACGGCTCGGTCTACACCAAAAGCGCCTACAAGTAAGTCTTGAGAGAGAGTGAAAAAAACATATTAATAACAACA